ATTCATAGTTCGTTTTCTCCATCGTTTTCATACATCACGTCATAGAGCATCTTTTGGATGAGTTCTCAATCCAAATGTAACAAATATATAAACTGTTTGTATCCTCTTATAAACAGGAAATCCAAACTTTGCCTGACGAATAAACTTCTAATATTTAAACAAGTTTTTAGACCGGCCATGCTTTACGCTGTGCCAATATGGTCTTGTTGTTGCACAACCAGGAAAAAAGCACTTCAAAGGATTCAGAACAAAGTTCTGAAGATGATTTTGAAGTTGCCTCCCTGGTACAGTACTACTGAGGTACATAGAATTTCGAATGTTGAGACTTTAGAACAAATGTCCAACAAAATAATTAATAATTTCAGGCAAAATCGTTGCAATCCTCAATTGCAACGATTAATTCCCTTTATACTTAGATAAGATTTAGTTTTAGTTTTTAGTTTTAAGATATCAATTGTTATACTGACATGCAGGTTTAAAAAACCCGTTTAAAATACTGAATTGCCAAGGCAGGAACAATGTAAAAACACATAGATGATATCATAACAATTAAGGCTGGTAAGTTACTGTAGTAACTGGAGCACCTAGGTTAAAATGAAATGTAATTTATTTTGAATTTGAAACAAATAAAGAGGTAAAAAAAAAAGATTAGTTCTCAATTAGTTGATAAATGGCCCGTGTTTGCAGTAAGGTCTCTCTCTCTTGCTTATAAAAAAAATGGAATTGATCTTTTAGGTAAGTACTGAGAAGACAGGTAGTTCAGAGTTGCAGTCGCTTGGACCAAACCAAATTATCAACAAAAAAACTTGTTGGTCTTCAAAGACTTATGGAGAGAAATTAATTATGCATCAAACAGTTTGTTTTTACATGCCTGATATTTATAACCAAATGTTTGAATGTTTCGGAAAATCAGTCAAAATCAATGTTGCCTTCGATTTTTTTTGAGTGTAAAGCACACTATGATTAAAAAAAATATAATATAGAAGAGTAGTAATAATAGACCAGAATATTTCTGTTCTGATATAGTTATACTACACTGAGGCAAATAGACTTAAGTCTTTAAAGAGTTAATAGACAATACATATGAATTTCAAAAGCGTGACTTATGAATGATTTTCGGGTAACATGAATGAGGTAGCTCTTATATGCCTTTAATCATTTCATCTTCCCAAGCGTTGAAAGACGAGTGGTCAAAACACGGGCCACGTAAACTCATCGTCTATGGTTCTGTTACAGTCTGCTCCGATATATTATTTTTTGTCAACATTATTTTTCATAAGGCAAATCAATGAAATTCATACTGATTTCTTGTGGCTAAAATTCATAAGTGTTTTTTTATGGAATTCTCACGTTCTTTTGCCTGCGGGTACAATTAAAAGTTTATGAGTTATTTTTGCACCGAAAGTAATCTTAAACTTAAACTTAAAAAAGAGAAGCTTATCAAAGACAGCATGTTCAACGTTACCAACCTGCGTTGAATGATTGGAATTTACTCGTTCGAAATAATTAGAGAGTACGATAAAAAGAAACCCGATTTTACGGTACAAATATGCCTTCGTTGAATGATTGGTATTTACTCGTTCAGAATAATTAGTGAGATGTACCTGTTGCCGATACTAAAGTTCAAAGTCATAAATATTTATTGGATTCATACCAATTCAATTGAAAATCCACATGAGTTTTGGATGTATGAAGCAGTATCTGTCTAATTTAGGAATCAAGATAAAATATTGCACTCAAACCCAAGTTCAATGTATCCTAAATAACGCCAAGACGTTCGGTAATTATCCTCACAAGATTCCGTCCCCCATTGAAAGAGTATAAAGCAAAGGTAGAGCCATATAAATTGAGATTTATAGTACTTTTTGATAGATTTTAGTCGCCATCGTCTTCCTTTTTTCCCGATGTTCTCATAAAAGTAACTACGGAAACTATCCTAGCAGGCGCTTCTCGACAGAGTGTGTCCAATCGGTCGAAACGGAATGACAAAACGCGTATTCAGCAGCTCCCGATGCTCCATTTACGATGGTCAATAAATATTTCGCCCTGCAATAAAACCTACACGCACCGTACATAGATATGTACCTACATAGAGTAGTTCCTTGTATCCTTTCGAGAAAGATTAAGTGAACGTATTTCCTGTGGCGATTTCCTAGTCTCACTTTTTTTTTTCCTTACGAATTTCCCACTATAACTCTGGGCTGCTTTTATTCAGCAGAAGTGTTGCGGAACAATCGTTCTGGATGCTACGCAATATATATTATCGGACAAATTGAAGGCAAACCATGACTCCGGTGGAAAGAAGAAGAACCCATATCATGTATGAATTTTTCACGGAAACGTTTATAGCAGGAAAACTTTTGTACTCGCAGTAGTGTATACCAGAATATATCTTCAATCTCTCGGCAGAGTACCATTTTCCTGCTTTACATGGGGATCTATTCCTTCTCACTCTTCCATTATCCATTTCGTTTTGCCATCCTTTCACTTTAATTGTCGTCGCCGCAATCAGTGCTACGAATTTGCTTCAGTTTGTTTAAAAACTTTTCAACTGAAGCGTAGAATTGAACGAGGAAAATTTTTCTTAGATGCGACTTTCCGCCAAGTAGGCGCCGGCTGGTTTAACCCTTTCCCACTTCCGCTTAGCTGCAAAATTTGTCTGTCGATTCCATGGCGACACGCGCTCGCTACTGCATATGCTACTACTGCGACGGCACAGCTGCCGGTGAATCTTCCTATTCGTTTGAATGTTTACACACCTTCTAGTGCGGGTGCGAAGTTGCTATGGTACCGGCGAGTTCAAGGCTTCCGAGATCGTTGAAGAGTATTCTGTGAATATTGAAAGGTTCCTTGAATATTCATAGTTCATTGATGCGAAAGCTATCATTATTTTACTACTGTCACCTTAAAGACACTTTGAAGTATCTCATTTAGGAAGGTATTTAAACATTTATGAAATGAGACATGAATGTCCCTTAAATTGATTTCATGTGCTTAACCACAATTGCCCATATAATTTTCATAATTTGAAAAATTGAAACTCTACCTCTGTGTAGGCGACGACGTCGACCGATGCAACGATGTGGACGGCAAATGGACATTGATTTGCAAGGAACGTGATTGCTTCACATCGTTAAAGCGCAACTACACGCTGCACTTAAGTATTTGATGTTATCAGTAAGTGCACTATATAATAATACAAGCGGTTAGTTCCTACTGAAGGCAGCGGTATAAGATTCCCATAATCATCATTATCGTGAGCAATCGCCAAAGTTCGATAGATGCATATTAGTTGAGGAGCCATAGTACCGCGATTCCATGCGGTGAGAGATACGATTACTGTCAATCAATCAAAATTTACGATTACGTGCAACGGCCGGAGTCGACAAAACACGCGACTTGTAGTCAAGATAGTAGCTATACGTTAATAGCTTAATTCAACGTGTTGCCTAGTGCGTTTTTATAGTACTGGCATATCTCATAGGTTAGATGTACTGGATTTCGTCATGGTTATACGTTATGTTATGATGATATCCCATTTTTATGTTATATTTGTAAATTAACTTGCTGTATCTTACGGTTGATTAAACATAAAAAATATGTCAGTAAAGAAATATCACATCGCTCTCAATTTAAAGGTGTTCTGCATAACATCAAATCAAAATCTAATCAGTATTTATTAGTAAATTCCTATATATGTATATATGTAGAAATTCATGACGAAATCACCAACAAAGAGAACCTTTTGAGAAAGCCTACAAGTAGTACCACATCTGTCAGAAGATAATTAAATATATTGGAAAATAAATATTACAAAAGCATATTACCCAAGTAACCATAGGCACGTTATTTCGCCATTTTGGCTATATACAGCTGAACAACGGCTATACCAGTGTTTGCAAGTTCTGATGAAGAGCGTATATAGCCAAAAAGGTGAAATAACGTGCCTATGGTTACTTGCGTACTCAACCCTCTCCAACCTTTTCCGTTATTAACAATATTTTGATTAGAATCAGTTTAGTATGTAATTTATTTTTTCGTAAATTTTTAATTTGTGGGATTGTGGTAAGGAATTTACAGTGAAATTATTTAATTTTAACCAAAATTTCCAATCAAGAATATGAAATGATGGAAATGATTATGATTAATCACTAATCTTAATCAAATATCTCATTTTGATGACGCTCAAAGATAAATGATTATTGTCAAAAAGTACATGATTAGAGCTTATGATTAGTCATAGCCCTGCCGAATCCTATACAATTTTTGTATGCTTTCTCATGCAAGAAAAAAAAGGTTGCTATACTGTTTACTTAACGTTCATGAAAATTTGCCGAAGCACCACATAATTGCATAATATCAACTATCTTATTCACGCTAACTCTCTTTATTCCAATTCATTATTCTATATAACGATCACGTTAGCCTTGCAATAAATCTAAAATAAATTTTGTGTGACAGACATATATAAATCAATGGTCGGCTCAGCCGCATAAATAATTTTAGCACTTGGGGCAAAAGTGAAATGCCAAAAATCTTTTTCTCAACCATGAATCTCAGTCACAGTTCCTATGCGTCCCAGTGTATATGTTTACTCTTCTTGTAAAGGACGAAATTCCACCCTCCTACAGGCATAAAGACAAAGTTAGGAACTGATGGGACAGTGCTCTAAGTGTGGTGAAGATAAAATCTAACATAAGCGACCGACTGAAACCACTTGTACTACTAGTTGGCATCGGAATTAGAAGAAAAAAAAACATAGATATATGTCCTCACGAGTCACTCAGAAACTTACCACACAGACGGATTCGTTCTTCCGGCTCGCTGGTCGTCAGTTCGATTTATATAATGTGAAATTAGTCACCCCATAGACCGTTTATCTATTCCAAGAGGCCTTTCTCGGTTGTCGATTATTTATTTGTAATTTATTCATTTTTCTTTCTTTCCCCGCCGGAGAGCAATAAATTTTCATCTCCACCATTTCTTTTGTCTCGCTGCAGAATTCAATCAGGCACAATCTATCACTGCACAACCGGTTCATGCGAGTACAGAACGAAGGAACCGGCAAATCGTCCTGGTGGATGCTGAATCCGGACGCGAAACCCGGCAAATCGGTTCGTCGGAGGGCCGCATCGATGGAGACATCCAAGTACGAGAAGCGAAGGGGCCGAGCGAGGAAACGGGTCGAAGCGATACGACAGCAGGCGGCCCTAGGACTAGCGAGTAAGTATTTAAAGTGGGGGTATGAGCATCAACTTTCAAACTAGAAAACTGGTGGAGTAAAAAAAAAGTACTCTTATCCTACTATTTAGTCATAAAACCATGCAGCATGCGAGAATTTTAATTTATCTTACAGTTCGAAAGAGGAGTGTAAATTTATGTTATTATGATGCACATAAATGGAGCATCATATATCGTACAAGTTTACGTTATAGATCGTGTAAATTTATGAGAAATTTCATGACATATTCCAAATATTGAATGCGACCATCCATCTTTGCTTCATATTATTTCATGGCAGGGGTGGAAATGGTTGTCGTTTTCAAAATTATCAAACAACTAATTTCTCAATTTTATGTAAATTTAACCATTTCTTATCAGAAATGTTATTAATCAGACAACGTTGTTTGCTATACGCAAGCACAATATGAGCAGCCCGTATAATGAGATAAACTAAAATAGATAAATAAGTACGTGATCAAATTAGTTCTCAATCATCATAACATTTATTTTTAAGTGAACGTTGCTACTTGCTGTTTTAGGTGTACTGTATTTAATAATTTTTGTGTATGATATTTGTTATTAACATTCCTCAAATACTAAGGTAAATAATAAGATGTGATCCTGTAATAAAAGTTGACGAATGAAATATCGAAAGATTGTAAATTGTATCACCAGATCAAAAAACTGGCCATATTTGAAAGGTATTTAACTGAAAAATACAATGCTGCGTGACGGAACCGAAAGTTTCTGCAACAATGGCCACCGGGAGTCTGCTACAAAGAAAGGAAGTTTTTGATGCGGATGAGAATACAATATTCAATGTCTTCAATCAGTGTAGTGAGCAAATATTAGAAACCTCCCTTAGAGGAAGACCATGCTGGAGGTGGCTCGGTTCGATTCCCGGTCTGGTATACGAGTTTTTCAGAATTTACTTGCCACAAAAGCTCGCAATTAATAAGCGTGGAAGTGCAAATACTAAGTTGAGAGCATGCAATAAGTTAATATAGATAAGCAATTAGCTTGAAAAGCGAAGAAGAAGCAGAAGAAATGTGGGTAAACATATTGCTAGATAATACAAAAAATACATGAATATATGTAGTCGGTCACATGTTAATTTTACCAAACCGATACCGGTACCATTATTAGGGAATTCGATGTTAATGGTCAACTGCTGATTTATTTGTTTATTAACACTCCGAACACGATGCCTCCGGTATAATGTGCAATGGCAAATCGGCAATGTTTGAAAAATCATCGCTTAGTGATTTATCGATAGATTTTAATCTTTTAGCACCAAAAAAATATTTAAAATCTGTAGTTTCAAATCGTGTCAATTAAATTGAAATTTTTCAATAAGTGGATGAGCTATGATTTTTCAAACATTGCAAGTTTACCGGAAGCATCGTGTTCGGAGTGTTTATATTCATTGGCATAGGCATATTTGAATAGGCATACAGATTTCAGATTAGAAAATAATTTGATATTTACCGATTTTATGCCAGAAAACCTGATTATACATTAAATGAGAAATTTAAAAAGTGCTCAATTTATATTAAGAAATTCTCAACTCAAAGTTTAATGATTTTTTGAACACTTTGATATGTTATTAAGATTTTAGAGGAAGGATTTTAACTTAAAATCTAACGGTGGGAGGAAGGGAGAGGAAATGACCGCTCAAAATCCCTTACATCAAATGATGAGAGGGGGAACAAAAGGTCGAATGAACTTTTGTCCTTTTGGATGTGGTTGAATGGAGAAAAGGTCAATGGGCAAAATGTCAAATGCTTAAAAATATATTTAAAAGATTTAATGGAAAGAACGTCAAATGAGCGGTTCCATTCTAATTCGCTAATCCATTTATTCTTGTATTGTTCAGAGATGGACAGAAGGATTAATAAGGATTGTGGGATCTTAATACCCAGTGTCATAAACCATAAAAATATTATTTTTCGAATAAACTGTGCTTGTTTGTCATAAATATAATTTTCTTCGATTTTCTTAAGATATCTGTACGTATTATTATATTGTGTTCCATCTTTCTAGCATTCGACCTTTTGTCCAACCGACTTTGTGTCCATACGACCTTATGTTCATTTGACCATTTGTCCTCCTTCGCGTCATTCGACCTTTTGTACTTTCGACATTTTTCCATTCGATCTTTTGACCCCCTTCTCATGATCCGATCATTTGTTCATTTGACCTTCGACCTTTTGTCCTTTCCACCTTTGGTCAATCAACGATTTGACATTCAACGTTTTATCTTGCGACCATTTCTAAATAGAGCTGGAATTGGGGCGTAACAAGTTTTTAAAAACAATGACTTCTCTCGATGATTTCTTGAAAGTTATGGCTCTCGCTGGCAAATCGACATCACCATTGAGTAGGGGAAGACTTTCCCTACTCGATAGATATGTTGGTTTCTGTATGCCTCGAAATCAACGAGAGAATGTTTACAAAGGCTGTTACGCTCTAATTCCATCTCTATCTAGATTTGTTCCAAATCAGGAGGGATAGGATAGGATAGGATTTAAGGAGTATTGTACCAATTCTTAAAATTTCCTCATAAGTGGATAAATTCAGGTTTTTTTGACTAGAACTTATTGTTTTAAAAAGTAAGCAATCAAATAAAGAGCACAACTTTTTGTTTATATTTTTATTAAGGAGACTTTCAGCCCTGGGCTGGTTCTTCTCCGGAACAGAGCACAACTTAATTTTTTCGTGGCCGTTAAATTTTTTTTAAAGCACTGACATTAGGGTGATTCAAAATATCGATTTTGCTCCACAGCTCAATCGATTTCAAGTCTGGTAAATCTCCTAAAATTTATACTTATTTAGATACAAGCTCATACTGCCTGGCCCTTCTTTTTTCTTTTTTTTTTAATTCTTTATTTAAGAGATTTTTAGCCTTAGGCTAGTTCATCTCTAACCTGGCCCTTCGAAGTTTATATGGTAATTACTATGGGAACAATAAACTTTTTGTTCTCATCGTTCTAGCCCTTTGCAGTAATGATCAGTAGTAGTAGTAGCAGCAGTAGTAGTAAAATTACGTTTATTTCTGATAATTATGATTTTACATTGTTTTAGCATTTCAATTGATAAGGCTCTTCATCTTTGTTTAATTTTTTATTCTAATTCACGTATTCACGTTTTTCTTCTAGTCTACAGAATACCCCTTAGGGGGTGTGATCTGATGAGTTGATCTCAGACAGGTGTATCTGAAACTTTCCATGATAAAAACTCTTCATTTCTCCTAATGTCTGAATTCCAGCCAGAAGGTGGATCTCAGAATTTCTAGTTCGTAGCGGACTGTTTAGGATCATCCTAAGGATCTTGATCTGGATCCTTTGGAGTTTGAGGTGATGGCATTTGGCGTAACTCTCCCATATTGGCATACCGTACTCCATTACGGGAAGGATGATTTGTTTGTAGACAGCTAGCTTATTTTTCAGGGACAGGGTAGACCTCCTGTTGATGAGTGGATACAGTGATCGTATCAAGATGTTACACTTGGTTTTGGTTTTGTCAACGTGCTCCCTGAAAATCAGCTTGCTGTCTAGTGTTATGCCGAGGTAGACTACCTCTTTCGACCATTTCACCACTGTGTCGTTCAGGCAGATCTTATTATTCTCCGACGGAACAAGTCTGGGAGATTTAGAGTGTGGAAAGATCATGACCTGAGTCTTTACCGCGTTGATACGGATCTTCCAGCTATTGAAATGTTCAGACAGGACATCCAAGCCTCTCTGAAGTTAGGCAGCCAGAGTTCCGATGACTCTACTCTTGTAGACGATGGATGTGTCATCTGCGAACAGAGAGCCGGCCTATCGGAGGTGAACAGGTTGAATAGGATGGGGCCAAAGATGCTTCCTTGTGGAACCCCGGCACCGATGTTGAAAGCATCTGATGTATTGCATTAGATAGACTTGGCACATCCACCCACTTTGATGTGAGATCAAAATTATTTTTGCTGTGTAGATAGTTGTTTATTATCTTAACTAGGAAGATTGGAAGACCACACTGTTGCAATTTGAACACCAGGCCATCATGCCAGACATTGTCGAACGCTTTTTCAACGTCCAACAACGCCATGGCAGAATGTTTTTGAAACAGACTTGTTCCGTCTAAGAATGTTTGTTGCTCGAGTCAGCTGGTGGACGGTCGAACGACCTTTTCGAAAACCAAACTGTTCCTCGAGTAACAAGTTGTTTTCTTCGGCACATGTTAGGAGCCGGTGATAGACAGCTCTTTCGAACAGTTTTGATAACCCTGAGAGAAGGCTGATTGATCGATAACTTGAAGGAGAGGACGGATCCTTCCCAGGTTTCCGGATGGGTATGACTTTAGCTGACTTCCAACACGAGGGGAAGTAGCCAAGTTTGAGGCACAGATTAAAAATCAGTGCAGATTGTTGTAGAATGTGGAACTCAAGTGTTCCAGGATGTTGTCGAAACCTGGGGCCTTCATGTTTTTAGATGATTTGATATAGGCCAGTTCGTCAGCCGTATTCTCGGATTCCTCGGGGAAAATATTAGGAATCTGATGGAGGTTGGTTGCGTTTTCGATGTTTTGTCCGAGATTATGGGAGCTGAAAAAGTATTGGCCTATCACGGCAGCCTTCTCTTTTGGAGTTATCAGATGAATCACTGGGTCGCCGGGACTATGCAGTGGGGTCAGTGGTGAAATGGGTCTTGGCTTATTTTTAAGGATTTTGGTTAGTTTCCAAAAGGGTTTTGCACAATCTAGGAGGGAGCGGATCCTGTTAGCAAAGTTCTGATTTCTGAGGTCCACCATGCTGGCTTGGATCGTTTTTGTTAGGCGATTACATTGGGTCTTCAAAACAGGCAAACCAGAACGTTGGTATTGCCTTCGAATTGAGTTACGGAGTCTAACAATATTTTGGTAATTCAATCAAGGTTCAGAGTGATACTGGTACGTGTTGTTGCCTGGCCCGGGATACCACCTCCTCGATGGAACGCAGACAACGTCTTCAGGCGTCTCCGGAAGGACACCGTAGTCGTCAGTGGAGTCAACACAGTGTTGGAACTGATCCCAGCTGACGCGATGGTAGTTGCGTCGGGAAGCTTGGAACCGGTTGACGGATGAGCCCACATCGGCCACCACCGGATAGTGGTATGAACTCAGCTCCCTGTTGGGTCACAGGTTGCGAGATCTTGTCTCCCATGTTGCTGGCGAAGATGTAGATGGTGGAGTGTACGCCAATCCGGCTCAACCGGGTGGGAGAGTCCGGCGCTAATATGGTGTAGTGATCCTCTTGCAGGTCTTCGTACAGGATTGTGCCGTTTTTGTTGCGTTGACTGTTGCCTCAAGTCTGGTGTTTGGCGTTCAGGTCGCCAGCGATGATGTACTTCTCACGCCGTCGAGTTAGTCTGGTGGTGTCTCTCCGCAGGTCTGCTGCTGTCCCGTCCCTGATGGTGACTTGTTTGGGACAGTAGGCCGCAATGCTGGTAATTGGACCGACAGAAGTGGAGGCTTCCACACCCACCTCTTCGATCATCTTCAGCTGGAAACTCGGTAGCAGTCGACAGCCAATATTTCTCCTCAATGCGATAGCCACTTCTCTTCCACAGGAGCTGGTCCGGTCTAGCCTTACTAGCCGAAAATCGGGGAGGTGAACATTTATCACCGGCTTCAGGTGTGTTCCGGTGATGACGGCGATGTCGATGCTATGTTCATTGAGGAGGCCGGAGACGAACCAGCGTTTGGCTGAAAGTCTCCTTAATAAAGATAACTAACTAAGTAACTAACTGTTCATTGAGGAAATCAACGAACTGAATGATTTTTCTCTTGAGCGAGCAAGCGTTCCAGTTGACTATTTTGATGTCTTTATGATCCTTACTTTTGCACAAGGTAGTGTCTTGATGGTGCGCAAGATTCTGATCACCTCAGTCACGAGGATCACTAGTTCGTCGCTTGTGAGTGGATAATTGTCTTCTGACTCACCTGACACAGCTCGGGCAGTGAGGCGATGCTGATGCCCGCAACAGGGAGATTTGGAAGACCACTGATCACCAATTTCAGTGGTTTGCTTCCAGGGACGTCGTGAGTGTAGAAATCAAACCAGTTCAGCTGAAGAAATGTGCCAACAGCTTTGTAGTCCGCCAGCGTCGAACACAAGATTTTGATCCTCGTGCTGCACAGCTTTGAACAGCGGATGGATTTGATTTTTAGCCAGCTCATTCCTAAGCAACGCGCGTTCCTTCGTCGAGGTGAACAGTGGGGGCACTTTTTCCCGTTTCTCAACTGGATCTATATCTGCTTCTTTGGGGAGTGCCGAGAACGGATTACTCTGAAGTAACCTTTCCGTGTGGTTGCTAGCACCAGCTTTCATGCGAGGCCTTTTCGGGGCATCTTCAACGGATGCGGTTGCATCCATACTTTTGTTTTTCCAACGGGTGAGTAGAGGCATTCAATTGTTGCTCCACTACTGCCGATTAACCGACTTCCAATAGAGAGGCGAAAACTAACGACACGTTGCTAGCCAAAACGAAAACTCGCGACGGGTACCACGACCAAACGACCGACCTAAAACACCGAAGGACTAGAGAGATAGAGAGCGAAAAGAAAACCGGACTGCATAGCTTGACGGTCAAGCAGAGAATGGTTCCATTGCTTGTTGAACGGCTAAAACGATACTAAATGCACTGTTCTGATCAACGAAAAAGTTTGTAAAAGAAGCAGTACTAATGAGAAGTTTTCTCAGCTACAGTTTTGCTGTGAACCGCATTTTAATTGAATGTCAGGATATTTAGTTATTCATTAAAGAAGAAGAAGATCATATTTTTGTAAATTCTCCATAAACTGCTCAGCAGGTAACACGGGTGTGCTTGGCGCGATGAGTAGGGCAAACAATACAGGCTACTATGTGATACTGCAAGAAGCAGTGTTACTCAGAAAGCAGTTGATGAATCATATCAGAAAGTCATCGGCTTCGAAATCAATTAATGGCTAATAACCTTGAAGTAAAACCAAAAAGTGGTCTTCAGCAAAGTTGTAGCTGTTAAAATTTCACATAAGAACAGATAGCCATCTTTTGTGTAAATCTTTATGGTAAAGTGCCAAGACATTAAGAACAAAAATTTCACATTTCCATAGTAATACCCATATAAACTTTGAAGTGCCTGAGCAGTATGAGTTTGGATCCAAATAAACTAAAAATTTTGAGAGGATTATCAGGACCTGATTTAAAATTGGTTCAACCTGATGGAGAAATTTTGATATTTTGAAGCACCTTAACTTACATATCATGTAAATAATACCATGCATAGAAAATATGTGGAACGATAGGATTGTTTTCTCCGCTTCTATTTATATGCAAATTTGAAACCAACATATACATTTAGATTAATTTTATTTCACGCTGACTTTACCAACATTCGTAATTATTTAACCTTTTTATTTCAGCAAACGTACTAAACGATGCCACCCCTTCACCCAGTAGTAGCGTTAGTGAGAACCTAGACTCGTTTCCTGAAAGCCCGCTGCATAGGTATGTATCTAAGCGAACACGAATGAAACCTTCTTTATCCACCAATTACTACTTCAAGTTTGCTCTGCTTTCAATGTGCTCCCGTAGAAATTTCTCTAGAGATTTTGAATGAATCGGTTAGAATTATTTTGCAGCTGAAAGTTTTGGGTTCCAGTTTTTTGTTCATTGTTTTATGATTTATGTGTTTATCCATTTTACAATTATTAGTGGTAACTTCCAACTGTCCCCCGACTTTCGGCAACGTGCCTCATCGAATGCGAGCTCTTGTGGTCGTTTAAGTCCGATCCAATCGATAGTGGGCATCGAAAACACCTGGACCTATCCGCCGGACCTAGATGAACTGGCGGACAATCCCGATGCAGGGCAAAATGTGGAAACGGAACTCAACGCACAGGGACAGGCTCAGCTCGATCAACTGGCTGGATCACTTGCAGACGAACTTACCCTGCAGCAGACTGATTTCTTCAAAGGGTCAGTATAGCAAAAAGCAAAAGTTGTGGCTCACTCATGCATCACTCGTATCGCTCTATGTAACTGCGGAAAATAGTAAACCAAAATCAATTCCAATTTGAACCATCTGGAAAGAGGATTAACCGTACTAACCGAAGGTCGACCGGTACCTAAGAATAGTTTAATAACTTCTTTTGCTTTCACTACCGTGTCATGTTGTTGATGCATGCAGCTTGTTGAGACACTTTGACTAGAAGGATTTTGAATTAGATAGTAGCATGTCTGTGTTAGAAATTTTTCTGTTCTACTCTCTCCGCATGGAATATCATTGATAATATAAGCCTTCTACAGGAATACCAAAATCAACTGTTTGAGAAATAGAACACACATAATTTACATTTGCATGGAATATCATTACCAGCTACCAATATCGTCCAGAGCCAATCAGAATTGTTATTATCAAAGTCTATTTTCCTTCCACTGACCATACTTCTGGCACAGGTTCAGCCAAACCACGAGCATTCATAGCCAACCTCCACCACCATATCAGCCTCCACAGCCGTACTCACTACATGCGACGGTAGCGCAACCTTTCGGTTTCCAACAGCAGCAGAACCAGTGTCCCATCCATCGTCTACAACAGTGCACCTGTATGCTACAAAATAACACCCGTGAGGTATGAAATCCGTCAAGGACTGTTTCCCCAAAATCTAACCTATCTATTCTGACCACTACGTTTCTAGAGCATGTCACCTGCGTCTGGAACCGGAATGTCTCCGTCATATCCACACAGTGAACCATCGCCGGATTATGCCATGCTGGTGGGGGCCCGTGTGATACAACGAACGCCCTCTGCCAGTCCCCCACTGACGCCCAACACTGTTTGCAATATGGTGACAGCGACATCACAAAGCGGTAGGATTTCCAATTTTCATGGAGTATCTGTTTATTTAGGTATCTTATGTGAAAAAGTGGGCATCGCACAACATTTCCCCGAAAGTCTTTTAAACAAAATGTAATGTTTCTCCAAAAAAAAAAAAAGTTACACGTGGCGAAACGGAACTCAACGAATCAGTCCGGGACCGAAACATTTCTAACTCAGGAAAAATACGTTTTATTTAACTGAAGGTGCTCTTTTATACTTAAATTTTATATCATAAGTGATGCTCACGTCAGTAATTTTCGGAGATTTATCCATATTTAAAACATACACAGTCATACAGTACTCGCATAAAGTTTTAATTTGAGATTTAAAAAATGACATGAGGAAAAATTTCTGAGCTCTAGGATTTGAAAGTTTGATTATATTATATATATATAACTATTCGAGCTTGTCTTACATTCGGGCTAACAGAATTCGTGCTAGTGACATTCGGGCAAGTGTTATTTGGGTTAGTAATATTCTGGAAAATGTTATAGACAAACTAGAATAGGAAAATTTTGGGCCAACTTTGGAGGGTCGTTAGTTAGCCAAATATTGTCTGCTCTAAATTCTTCCAGAAGCATTCGACTAAAAACTATTTTAGTTTTATTGCAAAAGCATGGAAATAACAATGGTCACCAGATACCGGAGATATTCCGCACTTGTGGAGGGCATTAGAAACTAGAACCATAGAAACAAGCGAGTGCACTCTATGCACCAGGGTGGCCACTGATCCGGTTAATTCCCCGATTGTCTTACAAAAGATTGAAAGGTCAAGGGTACAAAATTCGTATGGGTCGTATAATATCGTCTAGGTGAATTGTTCAGCGTCTTTAAATGTCGTCCACTGTGATATTAAGTGCTATCGACTGATTTTTGTACAGATTTCCACTCGACTGCATTAAAGTTACAAAAAATCTAAATTTTTCAGATAACACTCCGCAAACGTTAATGGGACAATTTATGGAAGCGTTAAATAGTCAAACCAATATTGACGATATAAACATCAACTTGGAATCTTTCCCCGGAGGGCTGGAGTGCAATGTCGACGAAGTAAGAAATGCGATTGATTGTTTTAATTTAGCTCAACTCTAGCTCAAATTTACCCCCTGATTTTCCTTTTCAAGGTGATAAAACACGAGCTTAGTATGGAAGGATCTCTGGATTTCAATTTCCCAATGTCGAACCACAGCACATACACACCCACAAACAGTTCCAACTCGCAGGACTCGACAATCAGTGCAATAGCCGCAACGCCAAACCAGGCAACGGCACCGCATAGCCACGGTCAATATACGGCCCGAACAAGCGTCACACCACCATCCTGGGTCCACTGAGGGTGGCTGTGAATTGGAGCATACTTGATGGTAAGTCAATTAGATGATCCCTAATCGTTTTAAAATGTGCATAACTCAAGAATTGTCAGAAAATTTGCTTGAATTTCATGAAAATATTAGTTCAAATCGTCGTGGGTAGACAGGATGAGGGGAGACACAAAATTTACACGCTGTTTACGAGGGGATCTTTGACGCCTCACCGTGACTGCCTGACGCCAAGAAGTCAATCAGCAAATTATTTCCAACTTAAACTTTTTTCGTCTTCCATCGACCGACCGCATCAGCTTTTCCACACTTTGTAACCAGGGCCATTTTTCTTCCGCACCTTTCTCGTCCCGGGAGCCACTTTCGTCACGGTGCCGGAATGTTGCTTTTTGACAGCTCATCTCAGGCGAAAGTTCGAAGGAATGTCTATGTATACGGAGGCAGAACCTGAAAGTGGCTGATTTTTTTTTTGCTTGTGGTGCGAGGAAAAAACTTTTATCCACCAGCCAAGCGAGAAACTTTTTCTTTTTTTCTACATTTTTCATATCCCTTCCCATGTTGCCATGTTCCACGACACCACGGCTAAGATGAAGTACGTAGCATACTTTGAATGGCATCCAAAAAACTGCCTTCGCCTTTGTGGGGGAGTTAAATCTGGAAGGCGAAAGAATCCTTAAACAAGATTTCATCAATGCTCAACGTCTGCGGTCGGGGACCATTCGATCCCTTGTTGTTTCATGAGTACTTTGGCTCTGATTAATCAAGACCGGTTACTCCTTTGAGGAATGTGCTTCAATCTTTTTCGTGAAATATTCAGCACTTTATTGATGGATGACGTGGTGCTACTTTCGTTGAAAGACAGTTACATCCTGCCGACGGGGAATGTTGTTACTTGGACAACAAAAACGATTCATCAAGAGCTTGATGGTGTGACCCCGATTTTGTGAAACTTCAAATGAAAACATAGATTGCTCTGCTGGCCATGCAAACTTCTAGCGTTTATAATTATAAGGGCCCAACTGCAATGATGGATTCTCTTCATCGATTTTCATTTTTGTTAACATTTCTCGAAGCGTTTGCTGTTGTTTTTTTTCATATTACAGTCACATAAATACTCCTGGGTCATTCGTCACTTGTCCGGGGATGAAATTTGAGCTCGTGACTTTATCGCGAGATATATGCATGTTAACCACTACACCCGGGGTCGTTTCCTTTTGCAGTAAAATTGATTTTCATAGGATTGCTGGTGTATAACTCGATGGTACCCTTTGATATCGTGTAATGACTGAAGAGAGTTTTTTTTTTAACTAGTTCTTTTATTTACTAGGCTCAGTCGTGTGTGACATTTGGCGGAGCCAAAATCAGTAATGTTTGAATTAACATTTTAAATAGCAGTAGTTCTTGGTTAGTATTGGGTACCAATTACTTGTGGCGGGCTCGAGGTTAATGGGTAACAATTTCGATTGGAAGGAGCTAGGTAGGAAACTGGTTTCTGAAGCCTCCTTCAGATACTACTCTCGGACGGTTGACCAAATCCTGGCTGGGCAGGGGCAAGTAGCACAGGAACAGGAAGATAATAAGACTGAGACACAATGGCTGGAAAATGTTTGGAAAGGAGGGGATGGTCACATCAAACTCTAACATCAGACAAACAAAGCAATTCGTAGATCGCTTGCATGTAGGGAAGATCACGTGTTCCCAATACATCTCTTACTTCACGGAAGGGTTGTCTACCTCGGGCCACTAGGGTATCCAATATTCGTGCTCTGGAGGCGTCCAAACTGCGTGATCGATGTCATCATAACCGGTTCTGCACCTACATATATTGCTGTCAACGAGGTTTATTCTATAGAGATGTGCGTCTAGAAAGTAGTGGTTGGACATAAGTCTTGACATCACTCGAATGAATCCCCGACTTACATCCAGACCTATGAACCACGCTCTCGAAGAAACATTTGGAGTAATGGAATGTAACCACCGCCCAAGAGAATTACTTGTCCAATCGTTTTGCCAACTTAAAAGAGAACTCTGACGTACTAATGGGAAAAATTCTTCTATCATAATTCTCGCCTTGTTGTGCGCCCACCTTTGCGAGAGAGTCTGCCTTCTCATTGCCTGGGATTGAGCAATGTGAGGGGACCCATACAAAGGTAATCATATATGATCTTTCGACCAGCAAACTCATCTGCTCCCTTACCTTTGAAAGGAAATAAGATGAGTGCCTACCTTGTTTCGTCGACCGAATAGCCTCAATCGAACTGAGACTATCCGAGAAGATAAAGTAATGGTCTATGGGCATATCGGAAATCATCCCCAATGCGAAGTTGATTGCTGCTAGCTCAGCAACATAAACGGAACAAGGTTCCTGAAGTTTCCGAAAGGCGGTTGAGTATTCATTGAAGACGCCGAAGCCAGTGGATCCATCAATGCGTGATCCATCAGTGAAAAATCTTCTATTGCAATTGACTTGTTGGTACTTTTCAGCAAAAATGCGGGGAATTGAATAAAAATAGGTCGAAGTTGATCTGGAACTCCTAGACTAGTCTGTTTCATGGAGAGATCATAGTCAATGGGGGAACTGTAGTTAGTGAAGCATATACGAGAGGGGTTATAGCAAGGAAGGATAATTAGGATAGATTCGCACGAATCTAGACTGGATGCTCAATTCGAGCATTTCTTCGAAGTTTTCAATCACAAGGTTGATACTGACACTACATTTAATCAATATTCTTAATGAGAGCTCCCAGAAACGGTTCTGCAGGGGTTTTACTCCCGCTAGAACCTCTAGGCTCATATTGTGTGTTGAATGCATACAGTCAAGGGCAATACGAAAACAACGATATTGAATACGTTCCAATTTGATTAGGTGGCTACTTCTTGCCGAGAGGAAGCAAAAAGAGCCATACTCAAGAACTGAAAGAATAGTCGTTTTATATAGTTTAATGAGGTCTTCCGGGTGAGCACCCCACCATGTCCTGGAAATTGATCGTAAATAGTTGATCCTTTGTTGACACTTTTGTTTCAAATACGTAATGTGGGGCTGAAGAGAGTTCTTCGAATGCGCTTAAAATTATAAATTATTCAGCCACGCTAAATTAATTTACAAGATTTTGAATCCATTCATTGAGCGAATAAATCGAAGGTACGATTATCATATGGATTTTAGTGATACAAGATTTTATTAAGAAAATATACGATTCTAAAAGAACAATTTTCCTCCCTGAAAAATAAAAGACACAGGCAGAATTTGAACTCCGGACTTTCAATTAGTAGGCTAGCATCTAACGCACTAGTCTAACGTTACTTGTAAGAGATATGCAATATAAGGTGTAATACAATCATCGCCAATTTCTCGCATATGACAAATTGAACTCGTAGACAAATCGAACGCCTTCGGAAAGAGAAGATATTCCTCTATCTATTGGTAATATTAATTTGTGTGGCTTATTTGTCATGAGCTTGTAAATGCAAATGTTAGGTACACTTGTATTACGCCAGCCTTACCTATCGATATAACTTTTCGGTACAGGTGCTAATAGCTCATAGAACTGATGCCTAAAATAGATTGGGATCATCTACAAATTCTTAAATTCTTGTGTAGGTTGTTAGTATAATCACGTGCACCATGAAATCATATTAAAACTTTTTCTAACACCTCCAACATTTAAAGTTATTGTTAAAAAACAGATTTTGGGAAAGTGACAGCATACGATCATGAGTAACTCAATAATTGTTCAACCGCTTTTTTTATTTTTAAACATTTTTGGTAAGCAAAAAGTGTGAGCTTTCGAAATTTTGCTGAAATTCTTCATTGAGAAATTTTTAATTAAATATGGTTATTATGGTAACTTTAGACGCCATTAGGGTGACCAATCCATTACGCTCTCCTTTGGCATATTATCACTTGTTTTCTATGAAATCGCGAGGCTTTGTTAAAATATTTGACCGAATCGGTCAACATTTACCTATTTGAAGCAATTTTTCCCGAGTTGAAGTTTAAAATGTATAAAAAAAAATATCAAAGTTTTGTCGCTAGGTGGCGTTGCAAACGTCCCATAAATCACAAAACCCAATGCTCTAATGTCGTTTTCGTTTTTGCGGTGTAGCTACACCGGTGCTACACTGCCGTACACCGAAATATTTTAGGGTGTAGATATAGAATGCACCTTTGTTTACAAACAAATGATGTTGAGCTGTCAAAGACTCGCGCTTATTCCTGCTTACACTACACCAGTGCTACACCGCAAAAACGAAAACGACATAATATAAAATTATATGCTCAAAAATGTCAAAGACTAGAAGATGACCTGAGTTGATCCTGAAAAGTTATTAGCATTTTATTGAAGAAATGGCTGAATGATGTCTGACAATGTATATATATAAATATAATTTAATATAATTTAATCACGTCGAATTTCAGTACATCCCCATATATGCGTACATATTAAAAAAAAACCTGACTTTTTGCGTTTCAGAACCTTTTACAAATCATCAATAGGCTGAGAAGTTTATGAGTTACTCCTGACATTATGCGATCACTAACCCAAAATAGTTTTTTTTCTAACAATACCTTTAAAATGTAGAAGTGTTAGAACAATTTAAAATATTATTTCATGGTGTATTCAACTAGACTAACAACCTGCAATAGAGCACTAAAACATTTCGTTTTTTTTTTTTTATTTGTTACACTGTGTTTTAAAACAGTGAGCAATTCTCGCTGAAACCGCTAATTAATCGAGGTAATTAAAAGCAATTTTTGTAGTTCTTGCAAAGAAGTTGGAAAAATCGTTCATAAGTTGCTTAATCGATGGACCCCCGTTAGGTTTATTGTGCTTGGCCACCATATTAGATTTTTTCATAAACTAACTCCCCTCCAATTCATAAACAAAGAACGGCATTTGAAAACTGAAACTTATTCTTGTAAGATACATATAGTTTGACATGAATTTATTGAGATCTATATCAGCTGGTTTGAGCAAGAATTACATCTACATCTTTGACGTAAATCATGAAACGTAAATAAACATTTCATGTAAAATTAACTG